ATATATATATATATATATATATACACACTCCCTGGACCCAAGTTCCCTTATCAGATCAATAGTCTAATGTCATTGAAGGCTCTGGTACCATTCTAATTCTAGTGTCACCTCTTTTCCTATCAGTGCCTGTGATCAGAGGAAACCTTATCTGGTATAAGGTATAAGGTAAAACTGGTATCTGGTCTTGGCAGCTAATGTGTTTCTTGGATATTCACAGGAATATTGCCATTGTTCATTACAATTTTGTTCATTAAGTTCACTTTCTAAGTGATAATGAGGTCTTTAATCACAGATCACAATAAATTACAAGAATTACTTTCAATTTATTCGAGAATAAGATCTAATATAACATTATTAGTACAACATTATGTTCTTTAACATCCCATTTTGACAGGTTCAGTGCTGTACCAATTGATAATACTGGCGTAGCAAAATAATGCAATGATTTCCCACATATATAATCTTATATTTGCTCCAAGAGGCTCCATTTTCAAATTAAAAAGTTTCAACTTGGATTCTAAATAAATTCACTGGTTTTTTGAATAAATTGGGGTCACTATTCCTTGTGTTTTCTTCAAAAGATCATAGAGTTTTATTTTGTGTGTGTGTGTTTTATAAACTTGGCTCTGACAATTTTCTTCAAATTACCTGCAATTTTCCCATCTTGTATGATAAGCTATTTGTGTGACTGGAGTATGTTTGCATACACTTAGAATGTAAGCCTTTAGGAGTTAAGATCCAAGTACTAAACCACCCCTAACTCCTTGCACTGCTGCTTTGCAATAAATAATTTTCTCTCCTCTCAAAAAAAAAAAAAAAAAAAAGTAAGCCTTTAACAATGTACTTAGCATATAGAAAGTGTGGGGTAGATTTTCACATCAATTTGGATTTTGTTGTCATTCCCAAGTGGATAGTGGAGTTCAGGTTGACAGTTGTGCATTTGTTCCCTGATTGTGACAAGTGCCATAGTGGATCAGTTCTGCAACTCCTGTAGGAGTGATTTTACATTCAGAAGAATGTTTCCATGGTGTCTGTGCATGTGTACATGTGTGTGTGAATTGTCTAGCTCCCTTTTATTTGGGATATAATGTTATATGTATAGGCTTCAATCTCAGAATTATCTCTCATTATGAGGAAGAATTTTGTGCTTTGTTTTTGCTTTTGTTTCTCCCCTCCACATTCCACAGGGGGATGCTAACAAAATAATTTCTATCATCTATGTCTCTGCTCAGAGGTTAAGAAAGAATAGAAGGAAATAAATTATCTATCTAAAGATAAATGATCCATGAGAGAAGTGATAGTAAAAGGCCCTCCAAAATATAAATGACAAGATTGGTCTCCATCTTTCTGTTTGCTCTCTGGCTCACATCATAAGATAATGTTGTTCTTTACTTTTAACTTTTTGTATTTATTAAAGGTTCCATGTGGAAAATATAACATAACAGTTTCCATCCTGCAAATGAAATGAACAAGAATATCCTTTGGTTCGCAGATGTTTAGATATCATTTTATTGTTTAAGGATATCAAGTCCTTAATGGGATCCTGTCAGATATTTTCAATAGTTTCTAAAACCTCCAAGAAAGAATGAAATGGACAGTAGAAGAAAATCCATTTCAATTTAATGAGTTAGAAATGAGTGTCCTGCTTGCTGCCATAAGCTATTAGGCCTCATAACCTAAGATAGTTGGCATGAATAAAAGATGAAACAGAACTCCCCAAGGATGGGTCATTATGCCACTGAAACACATCACTTGAACACAATATAAAGTGGAACTATCTGGCAACATGGGCATCCAAACTCACTGGCTGACTCCATTTGTCACTCTCTACCTGCGACTCGACGGAACGTAACAACAACAGTAACCTGGTAAATGTAGAACTTGGGGTTTGTCAGGGTGGGAATGTTCCTATTGCTTTTCCCACACACCTGTCAACTCTTAGTTGAGATGGGTAAAGCTTTACTTTCTGTGTGAATACATAAAGTAGAATAAGATTCCATCATCTGTGCAAGAATGTCTGTACCATATTGCTGCTCAACTTGGAGAATTAAAAGGCCATAGGAAATAAGCTGGAGCTTTGGAAATATTGTTGTTTCCAGTTCATACTGACTTGGAATAATTGTTTTAATATTTTAGCAGCTCCAGGATCAATCCATAGCATAATAACACACTGCTTTATATTTTTTAAATAGATAATTTTGTATTTTTACTCAATGTCTTTTCAAAGCATTTTTTATGGATTTAAAAATAAGAGTTATTTAATGTTTTTGTTTCCCTCTACTGAGAGTTCTAAACAGAGTTGTTTACTGGATGAAATTCTCTTGCCATTCTTGTTCAGCTAATTAATGACTTAATGAAAACAGTTCCATCTTTATTGTGCTAGGGAAACAATGGCTATATTCCTGTTTCTTTTTCAAATATTATTTAGTCTTGCTTCTTAAATTATAAAAGGGAAGATGTAGATGTTCTAGTTTGACTGGCTTCAAAAACTCATGTACAAAAATACAGACTAAAAATGAGGTAAAAGATCAAGGTTCCAAGGTCAATATTTTACATCCACTTGGTTGTACCTAATTCCTTTACAAAATCATACTGGCTCAAAGAACATGGTTTGCAAACTGATGTCCATGTGTTGAATGCAGCTAATAGCCATATTCTGTTTGTAACTTTTTGAATTAGTTGCTGATATTAAAAAACTGGTTAAAGTTTATAAAAATCCAGATATCCAGTCTGAAAAATCAGAGGATCTGGCAATGACACTGGACCCCTATCAGAGGTATAGCTAAGGTATGGCAGGTATGGCATATGTCTTGGGCACCACTTGAAGGGGGGGTGACACCGAACAGTTTCCATTAACCTGGTGTGGCCCAACGTGCTTCCTCAAGCATCGTAGAACATCCAGAGGATGGCAAGGAAAGGGTGAAAGGAGGAACTTGCCTCAGGGCATAAGTCCAAGGCAGCACCAGATGAGGGTGGAATGACATTCCAAGGTGCCACAAATATGAGTGGTACCTGACTGAGGCAGCCAGACAAGACGGGGAAAGGCATTTCTGCTGATGCATCACTATCAACATTTATTCATTTTAAAAGTGGGGGGTGGGGTGTAATTTTAGAGATTGCCCTGGGCACTCAAATTGTAGGGGGCAGAACTTTGAGATTGCACCTGTCCCTAGTGCTCCTTACCCTCCCTATGCCCCATCTCCATTACTATAGGGCATTAATCCAGTAGCTAATGACTGCCCCCTTTTGACAGCACACATCCTCTCCAACTTGTCATAATCCTTACTGTTCCCTGTTGTCTCACTAATACCAAGGTCCTGCACAATGAACTGCATTTATCACAATAATTCTGATATTATATGGCTTGCTTTAATTTACTTTACCCACTAGGCTTCTGAACTAATTTGAGTTTGTGACCACATTATTTACTGTGGTTTCTGTTAGGGAAGCAGGAGGAGTAATAGAAAAAATATAAGTATTATTAACAAGACAAAATGAAGTGCTGACAAAAGAAACCAGCTCAAATAATAGCTTGCTACTGTACATTCTCTGCAACATAGTTCTTCAAACCTTTCTGTTGGGGAATATTTCAGTGAGGTAGCCTTGTAGACCACATACATAATCTCCTTCTTTTGTCTAAAGAAATACCGATGTTTTGCCTTAGTAATGAGAATATTTTTAAATGTTCATTTTTGTTCTTTGCAATGAGTAAAAATTACATTTGCAATTGGGAATACAGGTAAACCTATCACCTAGCTCACCTACCTTCTTCCTACCATTAATCCCATTCCATTACCAGAATCTTCAGGTGATTTGATTTTAGGAAGGACTCAAACAATCACTTTTATTAAAATCACACCATTCAGAGCCATAACATCACACTTTAATGATGCCCCATTTAATCCTACTTTTGATTTGGTTCCAAGGGAGTTAAGTGTCTCTATTCTCTTTTCATGCCACAACTACTATTCTTATTTTTGACTCATGGTATTAATTAACTCCTATCTGGTGTGTTTTCAGACCTTCTAAAATGAAAATAATTATCTACTGTATCTCCCTGATTCCAATTCCCTTAAGTACTTCCTTGAATTAAAAGAAGAGGAATGATGTCAAACTATAGCTATTCCAACGAAGAGGACTAGCCAGTAGTAAAAATCTCAGTAACCCCTTAGGTAATAGATGCTACCCAAAGAAAACAATAGGTTTCCCAACTGAATAGCATGGCTATCGCTGAAACTTTCAATTTTATATTAATTAATGCACAGATAAAAAAACATTAAGCATCATCAAATAAAAGTTCTATTAGATAATCCCCTTTTATAAAACAAGGTGAGTTTCATAACATATAAATGGAAAGAAAAGCATAATAAGAATTTTTAAGTCTGAAAGAATGTTAGAGAAAAAGAATGTTCCTGACTCAGGAAAGAAACAACCAGGTTAGAATCGTCATCTTGGCTGCGGTGAAGGCCAGCATAGACGTATCCACCATCAGTCACCAGTGCGAAAATAACAACAGTTAAAGTAATGACATTGACGGTAATAAAATGGCAATTACTGTGTGCAGTGGCTTTTTCAGGCCTTTCTCAGCATATCGAGGATGTCCATTCTTATCAGCCAGAGAGGTGCCTTGAAAGCCAGGACATTAGCAAAGGATTCTGAGGAAGTCCCTTCATGTTTTGTTTCTGTTTGTGCAAAAATCTCAAGTTGTTTTGTTTGCTTAGGGGGAAACCCCCTAGAGTTCTAAGACCTCAAACCAACTCCCAAAGAGTCCTCCCTGGGAGGAGATGGTGTGAGAAGGCCAAGTGTGAGGGGGTTTGGTTTTGAAAGTTGTACACCTTCCCCAGACATGGGTCTTTGTGGAAGGAGGAGAAGAAGGAGAATGAAGAAGCTCAGCTAAAATGATGCAAGACATTGGCAGCCTCTTTTATAGTATATGAGGTGTTTTTTACTCTTCTGAATCTGAAAAAAAGAAAAAGAAAAAGAAGAGTGTCAATGCTGCCTTTCCCCCCTCTCCACCCTCCAGGTCTGAGGAGAAGAAAATGGGCGGGGGGGAATGGGAGGAGATCAATTAAGCACCAATACTGGTCATTGTTGTCTCCTTTGTAACACAATTCATTCTACTCATGATGGGAATATCTCAGTAGAGAACTTTAAACATTGGTTACATTTAACATCTTAATAGCTGCTTTAAACTAGATTTTCAAACATGTGGCTCATGTACTGTGGACATTGTTGTTGTTGTTAGTTGCCACTGAGTTGTTTCCACCCCATGTGTGCAGAGCAGAACTGCTCCATAGGGTTTTCAAGGCTGTGACCAGCCTTGAAAGTAGATCACCAGGCCTCTCTTCTAAGGTATCTCTGGGTGGGTTCCAATCACCAACCTTTGGGTAAGTAGTCAAGCACTTAACTATTTGTGCCACCCAGGGACTTCCATAGGGACATTATGGTTGTTAAGTGCTGACAAGCTGATTTTGCCACATGGTGATGCCATGTGACAGAGTAACACTGTCCCATAGGGTTTTCTAGGCTGTACTCTTTAGAGGATCAGATCACCAGGTCTTTCTTCCAGGGAGCTGCTGGGTGGGTTGGAACTGCCAATCTTTTGGCTAGTAGCTGAGCTCATAACTGTTGTACCACTAGGGCTCCTTGAAAACAAAAATAGAAAGTCACTGACATAGAGTCGAATCTGACTCATCGCGGTCGCCATTGGGTTTCCGAGACTGTACATCTTTACAGAAGTAGATCACCCCATCTTCCTTATGTGGAGCAGCTGGTGGGTTTGAACCTCTGGCCTTCTGGCTAGCAGCCAAATGCCTTATCAACTACACCACCACAGGCTCCTTATATGGACATTAAAAACCAAAACAAACTCACTGCTGTCAAGTAGGCGCTAATTCATAGTGACCTCTCCTTAAGTTTCTGAGGCAGTTATCACTATGGAAGTAGATTGCCCAACCTTCCTTCCAAGGAGTGGCTAGTGGGTTTGAACTGCCAGCCTTTTGCTTAGCAGTCAAATGCCTTAGGCACTATGCCACCAGAGCTCCTATGTGGACATTAAGACATCTTATTCTGTAGCTTGGAATGACCCTGGCTGCCAGATCTGGTCAATTTCCCTCAGGGGTCTATGGGACTGTAAGAAAACAGTCACTCAACCCCAGCAGTTTCTATACCAAAAGCATTCCTTGTTCATACCTTTTTCCCTACCCTCAGAAGCTTCTCGAAGAAATATGCCCCAATGAAAATCACTGTGCAGATGGGTAAACCACCTGAATTCTCTGTTGGACCCAGTGTGAGGGGATACAGGAAGAGGACAAAGGTGGAAACAGGACTAAGATTAATGGAAATAGACTATCTTGCTTTGGTTGGGTTTTTTTTTTACCCTACCCTACATAATACCGATGGCTTTGGACAGAATTATAAAACAAACAAAAATACTGTTATTGTTTCCTATAAGTATTGCATTCTCTTAAGTCATTATGTCTTTTAGTTGGAAAGGATCTTTTCTTTTACAGAACTCCAAAGGGATAGAAGTAAAATGGCTTAGACTTTAGGAAGAGTAACAATAGCATCTACAGAGATGTTAGGAGTCATCAGAGGATAAGGAGAGTTTTCCACTTAACTTTAAGGACTAAAATACTTTCCTAAATAACTGGGCTGAAATTAGGCAGAAAACTAGCTGGGAATGGGAGAGACTTTCTGATGGATGGTAATTACAGTCAATTCTTAATTTCCTAGGGCCATTGACCCAGGCCTCCTGCTGTTCCTCTTCTTTCTGGTCTTGACTTTTTGTATATTTACTCTCCATTAGCACCTCCACTCATTTGGGAGAAGTAACAAGGGAAGTTAAATGCTTCTGACCAATCACTTTGATACTATTGTTGTTGTTGTTGTTGTTGTGATGTGCTGCTGTTGTTGTTATGTGCCATTGAGTCTGGTGGACTCATAGCGACCCCTCCTTCGGTTTCTGAGGCAGTATCACTATGGAAGTAGATTGGCCAACCTTCCTTCCCGGGAGTGGCTGGTGGGTTTGAACAGCCAGCCTTCTGGTTAGCAGTCAAATGTCTTAGGCACTATGCCACCAGAGCTCCCACTTTGATACTAGCACAATAAAATGCTAATAAAGGAAGAAGGTGAAACAAAATCTGAAATGAAGGACTAGAGATTTTCCATGGATTTTGATGGTTTATACAGTTTTGTCCACATGGACATTGCAAGACAGAACTTCCTCCTTGGTGCCCTGGCCCTGCTATCCTCAGCTTGAGGTCATATGTAATGAAACTCCCATTAGATGGTCACCATAGTCCTGGCCACCTTAAGAGATGTCTCCAGGCCCTCAAATGAGAAACCCAATTTTCCTATGCTGACGTAAGAGTTGGATTTAAGTTCTAAATAACTGTTGGATGGAAGCTAGGGACACATGGCTGGGGACAGCTAACAAAAGCCACTGTTAAACCCAGTTAGCCTCAGAGCCAGGGGGACAGGTGAACCTCCTCTTCTAGGCAGCCCAGCTTAGTAGTGTCTGCTCTCCAGACTGCTGGATCCCAGGGTCTTAATGGGATGCTCAAAGCATGCTGAGGGGAAATCTTCCCTTTCTCTCCACTGTTATGCAGCAATTAGTCATGGCTGAGATGCTGCCCTCTGGTTTGGGTCTCCATCCCCCTCTATCTCCTGATTCAGGAACGAAGTAAAGGGGTGGAGAAAGGAGTAAATGATGGAAGTCTGTGTTAAGCTCTGTCTGTGCTCCTTGTCATTAATTAAGTACAACCAACAGTAAAACAAAAAGAGGCAGATGTTCGTTCTATAGCTGGGTCTGTGACCTTTGTGACTGTCCTGGGCTTTCCCAAACATCCAGTCTCTCTCTAGTAACTTCAGTTTGTGAATCTCTTAGGGCACTTAGCCTAAAGTGCCTAGAACTGCAGGAAGAGATTTCCTGTGAAGGAATAGCTCCATTGTGGATAACTTCCTGTGGGAAGGAGTACCTGCTATGCAGGCAGCTTTATTATGTTTCTAAGTCGGTCCTGGGTTCCTCCCCTCATTCCATACTTCTCACTTGACCTTTAGATGTTCTATATCTGCTTTATTGTATTTTGGCTTTGTGCATTTGTGTCAATTTAAAGTAAAATTGGGTAAGCCTCAGCAAATACTACAAAATATATGAACATGAAGGCCCTGAAGGCACAGAAGAGGCCCACTGTCTTTACGAAATACATATCTATTTTTGTTATAGTCACTTTGGATTATATTGATTCTAAATCTATGTTGCCTTTGTGGAAGCCATAAAAATGTAGTAAAATCTTATCCACCTTTTTAAGAGTGAAGAAGGAACTAAAATGAAAAATATCATCACCCAACTTGAGAAAATTCAAGAAACTAAGTCACCATAACTGCCACTCTGTCACCAATCCCTTGTCCAAAGACTTCCCACATCTCACCAAGGGGCAGCTGTGGTAGCTTTGAATTCTGAAGTGTCTGTTGTATGAATTCACAGAAATGTGCTTACTCCAAGGGGATAAGTAATAGTGAATGTTCCAATGAATGCAGTTAGAGAGTGGGAGATTGAGACTTAAAAGAAAGTGGCCCTGTTTATTTCATCTTCATAAGTGCTTCTGCAAGTTAGTGGAGATGCTGCATATGGATATTAAAACCATTTTGTTGAAAGATAATTATTTTAAGGAGAGGCTTAAACTTTGAGTTAATATGACTGGAGTCTGAAAATGTGTCTCTCAGTCATGTTTATTCCTGGGCCACGTGTGGAACATCCATGAAGCAGGCCTCATAAGAATCTTGCCCTGGACTTTAAGGCAAGTCTATAAACATTGTTTTCATTTTCCTTTGGTTTTCTTTTTTAAGCCTGATTCAGCTATCATTCTGGCTCAAATAAGTAAGCAGACTTGGCGGAAAACCAAGGTGAGATTGAAAGCCAGGTTTGTAAGTCTCCCTGTGGAGTCAACTTTCTACAAATACAGCAAAGTGATACAATAAGCAACAGAAAGAGTTGTAAAAGGCTAAATAGAATAATAATAATAATAATAATAATACGGAAGAATAGACATGATTAAAGTAAAGCCATTTTAAAAGTTACTCATAGAAGGTAAATTAAAAGTTAGGCATCAGTTCCTAACACAACTCTTCTGCTGGGTCACAGGCTCCGATTCATGGAGGTGCAGGTGAGAGCAGAGGTAAGCACCTTTATCTACATGGAAGAGTGTTGCTTCTCATCAGTCATTCAATCTTCTATTTTTGAAGCCAACAAAAAATCAAGAGCCATAAAGACTAAGGAAGTTGTTCAGAGCAAGAAAGTGAGGCTGAAACACTTCGACTGCTCTTCAAGTTTTTCTCAATTATATTAGTTCTGAAACAACAGCAAAAGAATCAGAACAGGGTGGGGCAAGATGGCGGACTAGGCAGAAGGATTGCACAGACCCTCTTCAACAAAGAAAAGGGAAACCAATTAACACAGACACAGAAGATAATC